AACGTCAAGTATTTCAAATAGGTTTAAAAAAACCCGCTATCCCACTTGTATGGATATTTGTAAACAAACAAAAAGAGGCTTAGATAGTAATCAATGGCAAGAAAAATGACAGCAACAATTTTTTGTAGGTGGTTTTAATAAAACAGCAATTTTAAACCACAGTGATATGAAGAGGTTTGGGCGCCCTTGGGTGAATATTGCATTTCACTGCTATTTTAACTGAAAAGTTAAGAGAACATGTGCAGGGAATAATTTAAGCAAAAACTAAGCAATGGTTGCTTGCTGGTTTTAAAGAGTAACTTCACGTTTTTGAGAAAAAATACATTTAAAAAAATAATCTCTGGGTGATCTGTATACAATACAATAATTGTACCAAACTTTGTTCCAGATTCCTGTCTGTTTTTGTTCTGTTTTGCTGCAGAATGTCCTTTCCAAACTGATCCCTGAATGGGAGGGTCTGGGTTTATTATAATCAGCTGGTAGACTTGGTGTGTTGTAATGAGGACAGGTGCAGTGTCAGCATCCCTTTAGTTGTAAAATAGACCCTTAGGTGAGTGCCTCACAAAAAAATACAATTCCTATTGCAAAGGGAGGCCAAAAATGATACTTGAAGCTTAGTGAGGACCTCTGGGAAAATAAGTCAGCCAATCACAGAAGCAGGAAGTTACATTTCTGGGGGCATACCATACTACAACTATGTATGGAATGCCTCCAGGTTGCCATATTGCATTGACAGATTTAGAACATTGCAGCAGCTGCAGTTTTAAATGGAAAGCTAATTTTTAATAACAATAAAATACAAAATGGTAAATTACAAAATGTGTATATATATAATTTTAAAGTGGAGTTACCCTTTGAATGTCATTTTCTGCAGTACATGCAAGTTGAGCCTCAAATATATCTGCATTCGATGTAATAAGGAGTGTAAAATAATTTCAAAAGTTCTTTATTTAAATTCTGAAAACTTTTGATTCGCAAGGTGTCCAAATGTTTGCGCTTGCATTATTCTAAGAAATGTACAAATATGGGCAAATCACGCTTAGTGGCTTTGTGTTGCCCACCTTTTCCTCCCAAGCTTCAGTTAGGGCATCATTAATATGAAAAGGCCATATAGGGAGGCTTTTGCGGGAGTGGTGGTGGGAAATAATACCAATTTAACAGCAAACATTTAGATTTGCATGAAAATTCAGATCATTTGGGGTGCCCAAACCTGAGCACATGGCTGCGGCTTAGAAAATTATCTTCTGTACAATCAGGGTCAAAGAATATATATGAACCTTGGGAGGCGGGCTTTAATTTATAGTATACTTGGTCCTGTGATTGAGCCATAGCCATTGTATGCTGCCATGTAGGTGTCAAGAAATTATTTTATTGATATATATATATATATAATATGTTTTTTTATTTTAATGTAAAGTGCATTTGACCTAGCCCTAAAAATGCATCCTAGCAACTAGGGATGTTCACATACCAGTGCCGATACTTGGCATTTTCACGAGAACTGCCAGAGTTGCATCTGCAACCGGGCTCTGGCGTTCCACCGCTGTCCTGAAATCATTAGTCTGTATTGTTTTTGAAAAACGGTCACATGATCATAAACTAGAATGCATCAGTACTCGTATCTGTGAAGACTTGGACAAGTATCAGTACTTGAAAAAATGGTATCGGTTCATTATATATAATCATACATTAAAACAGGGATGCATCATTTCGAGGAGCTCCGTATGCTCCTTAAAAATGGCAGCTGCCTCCTAACTTGAGTTTTTCTCTAGCCTAGTAGCTGGAAAAGTATCTGTACTTGTACTAAGTGCAGTACTTGGTATCTGTGCATTCCTACTAGCGACCGATGATACGAGTGGTTGCCAGTAGGAAGGCACCTCTGACTCCTACCAACCAATGACTCCTCTGTAGTCATTGGCTGGTAGGACCGCTGAGCATTTTTAGGGCTAGGTCAAGGACTGAAGAGGAACATGGTCTGGACCCGATCGCCTACCTGTGCTGGGCTATAGCTTGCAGTGGACGCGCCAGCCTTGGAGGCCGATGCATCCACTGTCAGCAAGCCATAAATGAACACAGGTTGGTGACTGGTCCATGTGCAGACTGTAGGACAGACTGCCACAGACCAAGGGAATGCCCTGGTCTCTGTTAACTGAAGCATTTGTAGGCCAGGTCAGCTTCACTTTATTTAATTGCATAAATCAAGAAATGTTTCTATGGAAGGAAAAAACATTCTCCATTCATAAACTACCTCCTTTTGTTGCCCCGCTCTTTGATAAATATCTGGGGAAAGGAAAATATTTTAGAAGCGGCTCTACATAGGTAAATAAATTACAAACACATTTTATATATTGCAGTATATGTGGCTAATACTGTAGGATGCGGATTAAATATCTGTTCTGCGGTATTAGTATCACAAACTTACAATAAAAATCATTTCAATGATAACGTATTTATAACATTCAAGCAGATATACATTACATTTTGTACAAATTTTTATAGTGGAGGCAATCCCAGATAAGTTTAATTGACACAATTTACATCAGATAGGGCCTGCTTTATAAGCAGAGGATGTATGCCACACTATTGGAACTCTTCACTGAGCCGTTATTGCTAGAATGTTAAATATGAGTGGACGGTGTATGTATTGTAAAAAAATACCTCTCGTTGCTGGTAGCATCCCGAGTTATTTACACCATAGAAAATTACTATACACCGTAGGTCTATTCTATTTGTTTTTGCTCCATTGCACATACATAATAATAACAACAATGATAATACTAATAATACTAATACAAATTATAATTATTATTAGTATTATAATAATTATTTACAATTAAATCATGGCAAACACATCAAAAAATGGATTCCCATGTAGACAAAAATATACCCGTGTTTCAATGATGGTGTCTAAGCCTCTACAAAGAATAATTTGATATAAATGGATAGAAAGAATATATATCGATTAAAGTGAAATAAATTATGAAGATATTCTGAAAATGCTTCTACAAAAATATTTTCAGATTTAGTTTTTTTTAAGCCTTTAAATAGCACGGCTGAAAATGATCACACCAAATAAATTATTTACAAATTAATAAAGATGCAGTGCAGTTAAACCACCTAAACCTTTGTCTCCAAAGTCTTTTTTTAGTGGAAAATCTTTTTTTGTTTTTTGTCTTTTTTTGTTTGCGATTTCGTTCACAGACCTAAAATAGATTTCTAATATTTGATCTATTTTTTTCCTCCAATGAAAAACAAAAAATTTACAAAGTAAACTTTAATTACCAGGCACTATATAAATATGAAGCATTGTGGTACCAAAGGAAGGAACATTAATGTACAGAGAGAAGAATAAGACTATCAAGCAGTAGGGAAGCAAAAAATATCTCCGTTAACAAAATAAAGTTATGCAAAAAATTGACCAATTTTGTAATTGCCAAAAAGTGGAATATTTTTTTATTTTTTATTTTAAGGTAAACGTACTGCCACCAAAATGCCAGTTGGTAGTACACAACCCATGATAGCTTATGTAAAAAAAATATTATGCTATTTTGCATGTGTATATTGGAGAAAACAGAAGTGATAAATAAAACGTTTTAAATAAACCTTCTATTAGTCTAAATATCTAATATATAATGGGCACATAATTGGTATTGCATGTCCATACATAAAAGAATTTGCTTCCATACATACTGCAGGCCTTTCCAGTGGGTTACGCACTGGGAATTGCATTATAGGATAAGGGGTGTTAATGTTTGTTAGTTATGTTATTTTATATATAAAAGCTGTGGCCAAAAACATTCCAAAGTCAAAAATGTCTGGATGGGTTATTCGTTATCTGTATAATGTAGGGCGTTTGTCAACCTTTTTTTTTTAAGTCATGGCACCCTTTAAAAGTATGCAGAATCTTGAGGCACCCCAGTCTAAAATGTCATATATCTTGAAGGGGGACCCCACATAAAAACACCCAAAAAAAACAGTTCCCCCTTAATATTGAAGTGCCCTCTTCAACTCAAGATTTCCCCCCCTTCACATCAGAGTCAGCCTTTGCATCAGTAGCCCCCCTTCAAATCAGAAGCCCCACTTTCATATCAGATTCCCTCCCTTTCCCATTAGAGTTCTCATTTTATGTCAGGAGCCCCATTACGAGTCTTCATTCCCCCTTCACATCAGAGTCACTCTTTGTATCAGTAGCCCCCCTTCACATCAAAGTCACCCTTTGTATCAGTAGCCCCCCTTTACGAGCCCCACTTTCATATCAAAGTCACCCTTTGCATCAGTAGCCCCCCTTCACTTCAGAGTCACCCTTTGTATCAGTAGCCCCCCTTCACATCAGAAGCCCCACTTTCATATCAGATTTCCCATTTTACAACAGGGGCCCCTTTCATATCGGTCTTCATTCCCCCTTCTCATTAGAGTCACTCTTTGTATCAGTAGCCCCCCTTCACAATAGGTGCCCCTCTTTCACAGAGTTCCCATTTTCTACAGGGGCCCCTTTCATATTGGTCTTCATTCCCCCTTCACATTACATTGCCACTACCACTAAATTTTGAGGCACCCCTAAGGAGGCCAGAAGGCACACCGCTGTGCCACGGCACCCTGGTTGAGAAAGGCTGATCTAGTCGATCTGGTGATGTGTAATTTGCATCCGCTCCATCTCTCAGCCCTTCCCGAGTCAAGCCCCCAATTATTTTAGGGTAACAAGAAAACTACCTGTAGACACATATAGGAAAATTGCCTTCAAGTTTATAAAATGGGGAACTATAGCTAATTAATGCATAACAACAAATGTGAAATCATTATTAGGACATTTACACCACCAGAGGTTCTGAATTAAGGGTGCAGATGGGTGCAGTACTCGATTTGACACAACATTTTGACTTTTAGAGTAAAAGTTATAAAATAATCATATTACTTATATACAATGCTACAGAAGTGTTCTTCAGGAAAAAAAACAAAACCTCAAATTATTGAAGGGAGACCCATTTTGTATCCATGTTTTTGCTGATATTTCAGTTTTTCAGTAGTATAGACACTCCTGGTTCGGGTGACTTTTTGGTTTACAGGTATAGTGGACAATCCCTACTCTTAGAATCCGGTGCTATTTGAAGTAGCTCAGACCAGCCACGAGAAAAAACTTCTCCAAAAAGAGCTCGGAGTCCAGCACAGCGATGTGAGCAGCTCGTCCAATCAAGGTGTTGGCGGTGTTTGGCAGGGCATGGAAAACGTTGTGCCTGATCAGAGTGCAGTCCTTGGAGTCTATCACTGGCTGTAGAAGATTGTTGATCATTTCCGTGTAGATGGGACCTGGAAGAAAAAACATTGAATTTGCATTTTGGTCATGATAATTGGTGTTGCTGGGTCTTGGATGCTCTATGGGTAGGATCGAGGTTCTGATTCACTGCTACAATGGGTTTGTGGGGCGAATTCCCAGGATTCGCAAATCACAAACTTTTGGCCCGAAAAGTTCAGAGCTTCACAGTGCCAGGACCGGATGCAAACACTTTCTTCAGAGTATATACCAGTGAGTTGGTTCACCTCCTAGCAGCCTCTTTTCCCATAAGGCAAGTACGTCTACCGGTACTCAGATGCCCTTAGGCCTTAGACTATATACTCTGACTATAAATGTTGCAGGCAGCCCCCAGGTGCAGGGCACTAGTACTGACCGTTGACAAGGTACAAGACAAACAGAAAGCAAGACAGAAGACAGGAACAGGATTGAAGATACAAGAAATAACTAGAATTAAAGATACAAAGCAAGACTAGGATTCAAGACCAAGACAGTTACAGGATTCAAGACACAGGGGGGGATAAAAGGTACAAGGCAAGACTAGGATTCAAGATCAAGACGTGACTACGATACAAGATCTAGACGGGTACAGGATTCAAGACACAAGGTAGGTACAGAATTCAAGATACAAGACAGGTACAAGGTTCAAGATATACAAGAGCAAGATACAGGCTTGTGTAGACAGAACTAGACTGGACTATCACTATTCCAAAGCCGTGGGTGAGTGATGCTTAAAAAAGGCACCAATAACCAATCCCTAAGGCCGAGTAGTGTATGGTCGAGCTCATTAGCCCACAGATGAAGAGGTGCCGAGGGTGTGTGGCCAGGCTTATTAGCCCACAGATGATGGAGTGGTGCTGAGGGTTTGTGGCCAGGCTCATTAGCCCACAGATGATGAAGAGGTGCTGAGGTTGTATGTCCAGGCTCATTGGCTCACAGATTATGGAGAGGTGCTAAGGGTATATGGCCAGGCCCATTAGCCCACAGATGACAGAGGTGCTGAGGTTGTATGGCCAGGCTCATGATGAGTCCATGGTTGACAAGAGTGGGATATGTTCAGTGTCAACAAGCAACCACCTGAGGGAGCTGAGAGGTTGCAATAGCCATAGGAGCATCAGACATGCTCCTTACACGCAGCAAAAAAAAGGCAACTACAATGCAGTGTGTAGCCTGTGCCCCTGGTCAGAGCCAAAAACATATCATTTGAAGGAATGGATAACCTAGCCCCCACCCTTTATAGTGCCCAGCTTTTATTTGACATTACTTTGCTTACTAGACCTACACAAGTCCAAAATTGAACAACAAGCTTCAATGGGGTTTACCACTAAGTTCCCAAAAACTGTCTACTGAACCCAGGTGTATTTGCTCATCCCTATTTATAAACAAAGCAAACTCAACAAAGAGGATCCCTCAAAGCACAGCTTACACAGTGCTGTGGATTCTCTCTCTACCTTGATGACAGCGCTGGGTACCTGCACAGCCAATGGCCAACTACCAGTGCTGTCACCTGGAAGGAAGAGCTAGTCGCATGGTCCCTATATCTGGAAGTACTGGATCTTCTGGCTGGTAAAGTGATTTCTTTGGATCTTCTTCCTTTCTTTCCTGCAACAGCAGTCTTCAATGCTACAGTAAGCAGTGATGATAGCAGTGCCACTGTCCGCAGTATTGTAATGTGAGCCTAGGCCGGCATGATGATGTGCACTCTACATGATGTGCGTAATGATGAAGTGGGTTAAATGATGATAGCCATCACTTAGCCTGAAAGTTGGCCAGCACTAAATTTTGGGGTACTAAGTCTGTGGGGGAAACCATCAAAAGGGGAGATAATTTATGCAGCAAAAGCTGCTTTTTTTATGTTTTATCATGCTACTGGAGTTGTGCTTTAAACTGAAGCCATCAAAGATTAGCAAAATATAAGATTTTCCAACCAGTTTTTACCGTGCATTATAAGGTACCTGTATGCTTGTCCTTAATGGCGTTTTTGCACATTTCAATCCTTGCTGAGTGAAAAGGAACATACCGATCTTGAGGAGACGCCACCAAAACAACATTTTTGAAATACTGAAGGCCTGTTGACAAAAAATGCATAGCTCAGAGTATATAGATATATGCAAAGAAAGTCAAAATCAGCACTTTACTAAACAAACACCTTGGTGCCTAACACAAAACAAATAATGCAGCAACAGGTATTGTAGGCACTCAAAGGGTTTCCCTATGTGAACAAGGAGGGACAGTATAGTAGCTTTATTGCACCAACGCATATGCAAGTCACAGCCCGCCTTTCTCAAGGCAGACAAGTGGACTGTGACTCGCTCTGAAACATCGGTGCAATAAAACTATTATACTGTCCTCTTTGTTCACTCATAGAACTGCCTACAATACTTGTTGCTATAAAGTCCCAGAGGTAGCAACCACACTTGGTAAATGCCTGTTTGCTCATTCACAAAATACCCAAACAAATTCAAAGTAGATAATGAGCGAAGTCAAAGCATCAGCATTTTATTGGCAATGTTTTGAGGGAGCTCAGTCCATCTTTATCAACACACTTGTGGACGGAGCTCTGTTGACAATAAAATGCTGATGCCATGACTTATCTCCGCTGCAAGACCCGTTAGTGTCTCTATACCTACTTTAGATATACATGTTGAAATTATACAGGTGAAACTCGATTAGAATATCGTGCAAAAGTAATTGCAGTAAGTGCTAGTACAGAGAAACATCGGTTGGTTGATCCAGTAAGCCCCTCACGCTCGCTGTTTGAGCTGCCAGAATTACCTCAACTGTATTGCTATGCCAAGCAGTGTTGAGGTCCTGCCCTAGTCCCCCCTTGCTGAACTACAGAACCCTTCCTATTTCTCACCCTTCTTTGTCCTTCACCACATGCATATATGGATTTCTTTGTCAGCACAACAATGCTGCTGCCTTGACGTCCAAGAGCCTGCACTATATTGTGTATAGCGAAAGGGCTTTTGGTAGATGTAGCTCTGAGGGTGTGCCTACACCAAAAGAAAATGATCAAGGATGACCTGCTTATTGTCACAGCTCAGTGAATTAAAGGAGAACTATGAGGCGAGTGCTTTTCACTCACCTCATAGTTCTAGCCGACCTGTGACAATGAGACTGTCACAGGTCGGCTCAGTAGATCGGGAGGTGAGCGAACACATACCGGCGTTCGCTCACCTCTCGATCCTATTGTCTGCCTTCGTGGTCTGTGCTCATCTTTCAATTGTAGTTGGTTTTAGAGGCTTTAAAGCAATAATTGGCTAACTTCAATAAATAGAACTTCATCTCAGAGCTATGGTACCCTAAACTCCCTACACCCCACTCTCCCCAAAACCACTTGGTCGGCAGCTCGGTTGCTCACTGCATCTCGCCCAGCTGACAGCTCAGCTACCATTTTCTTTAGGCTGTGTCAGGTGATGAAAAATGTAGGGACGGCCCTGGCTATCGCATAAGGGCTTGTAAGATAAGTGTAAAGGAGAAGCTTCCCTCAATCAATGCAGGCACTGCTCTGCTTGAGGTCTTGTAAGTGACTTTTGTGTGTTACATAATACTGACCCCTGCACACTGTAGTACAGAGTGCAGGGGTCAGGAGTGTGTAAATTACACACTCCTGACCCCTGCACTCTGTACTTCACACACTCCTGACCCCTGCACTCTGTGTGTTACATATTACTGACCCTAGTATTCTGTGCAATACATACTTCTGATCCCTACACTCTGTGCATTACATAACAATGACCACTGTATTCTGTACAATACGTACTCCTGACCCCTGTACTCTGTACATTACATACTCCTGAGCTGTACACTTTGTACAGGGAGTCAGTAGTATGTAACGCACAAAGTGTAGAGGTCAGGAGTATGTAATGTACAGAGTAGGGGTCAGTAGTACCGTATGTAATGCACAAAGTGTAGGGGTCACGACATGTAATGCACAGCCTGCATGTTGCCAATAGTATGTAATACATGGAGTGCAGTAGTAAGTAGTATGTAATGCACAGAGTGCAAGGGTCAGTAGTAGATGATGTAGAGTGCAGACATCAGTAGTGTGTAATGTACAGTGTGTGTTACATACTACTGACTCCCTGTACACTGTACATTGCACACTTCTGATATCTGCACTCTCTACATCCCCTACTACTAACCCTTGCACTCTGTGCCTTACATACTACTGACTCCTGCACTCCATGTATTACATACTTTTGGCAACATACAAGCTGTGCATTACATGCCCTGACCCCTACACTTTGCAGGTGTCAGTAGTATACAATACAATACACTTTGTGCATTACGTACAGGTGAAACTCGAATAATTAGAATATTGTGCAAAGTTCATTTATTTCACTAATGCAACTTAAAGGTGAAACTAATATATGAGATAGACTCATTACATGCAATGCAAGATAGTTCAAGCCGTGATTTGTCATAATTGTGATGATTATGGCTTACAGCTCATGAAAACCCCAAGAACCCCAAATCCACAACCTCAAAAAAGTAGATTATTACATGCAATCAATAAAACAAGGATTGCACATAGAACAATATTGGACCTCTGAAAAGTACAAGCATGCATATGTACTCAGTACTTGGTTTGGGCCCCTTTTGCAGCACTTACTGCAATTACTTTTGCATGATATTCTAATTATTCGAGTTTCACCTGTACTTCTGACCCCAGCAGGCTGTACAATAGATAATGCAGACCACTGAATGCTGTGAACAGGGCTGTCAATTACATACTGTGCGAGCAGGTTAGGTTATATTTAACCATGCCTCTTTAAGCCCCTCCCACTGTTCGTGCAATGTGACCACATCCACCATTTACATCATTGCTTCCTTTAGGGTGCCTAAGGGTGCTCCAGGTCTTTCACAATCCTAGCAATGCCACTGTCTCATGTAATTTGTTTCCGGTCTTTAATCATCCGTTGTTGCATATCCGCAGTCTCTGATGGCTTTCTGTAGCACTACATTCAATATACATTATGTGCAGCCCTTTGGTGAACAACGTTGAGCAACATAGGCGGAAAGCATTTCCTTCTACAGTCTTAGTCTGAAGCTTCTCTGATTAAGCCCCCCACCCACATAGCCAAAGGAGATTTCACCCCGTCAGGGATCTCAGGGTCCTCTTATGTGGAACAGTCTCGGCAACGTTACAAACCTGGTTTCTGGCTTAGTTGATACAGGAAAGATTTCCGCAGGTCGGGGTTGTCCCTGAACGTCAGCTGTAGCAGTGAGCCGGACTTCTTCAGTTTTTGCATCAGCCACAAACCTGGGAAAGAAACAGAGAATATGATGATACATAGTTACACCATTATCTATAAATAATCAATGGCGACTGGAAGGACGGTGACAACTTGATTAATCTCCGGTCCCTGAAGAGGACACATGGGCACAATTTAAGGTTCGTTCTGAAATTGCAGAAGGTGTTCTTTTCGATCAGAGCAGCATAATCTAGAACTCCATATCCCAGGTAGTGGTAATGGATGGAAGCATTGACAAAAATCTTTCAAAAATTCTAGATGTCTTCCTGGATGAGCACATGAGAACATACATGGATATGTATACTCTTAGAATAGATAACTTAAAAGGAGAACTATGAGGTGAGTGATTTTCACTTAACCTCATATTTCGAGCCGACCTGTGACAATGAAACTGTCACACGTCGGCTCAATAGTTCGGGACGTGAGCAAACACATACCGTCGCTCACTCACTTCTCCATCATGTCCCTGCAAAGAGCCGTGACTGTCAGTCACGGCTCCCTGCAGGGATTCCCCCTCCCTCCCCTCTCTGATACTCCAGCGATGACTGGCAGAAAGGACGGGGGAGGGGGCGGGCACAGCTGGCTCTGCCTCTAGATAGGCAGAGCCAGCTGTCAATCACGCAACTGGGTGGATCTCGACAGTAATGTCGGGATCCGTCCCGGCTGCAGCGGTCTCAGTATACCGCGAGCTGTAGCTTGGGATATACTGAGCTTTGGGTCACGGGAGGATGCTAGTTTGTGTCCTCCCGTGACCCTTAGCAGAACTATGAGGAAAAGCACTGACCCCCATAGTTCTTTAATCTGACACATTTCCATTGTTGTCATCTACCATGTCACATTGTAACAGTTTTTAGTATGTCTGGCAACAGATATTTTTTGGAAAATAAAGTAGATTAATACATTTTGTAGATCTGGTTGATGACTTTACCTCAATTTGCAATAATTGACCTTCCAAAAATTTGCCAAATCATGACCCCCCCAATACACACCCCCAGAGACTTACCTGTACTGACCAACGTGCTGTTACTATAGAGGGTTCCCAGGTGGGGTCCAGAAAGGGAGAGGAATGTGTGCAACTTGTTGAGGTAATACCGGAAGCGAGGGCGGGTGAGTACAGACCGTATGATGATGTTTCCCAGCGAGTGCCCGATGAAACTGCGCAGAGACAAAAATCACACAAGTACTAAGATGGTTTCTTGTTCCCAAACATTTCCATACGTTTAAAATAGAAGTAACCCCTAACAGAGACCATTTCCTTTTATTTTATATATTTGATTTTACTTTTTTTCATCTTTTGTTGCATCTCCGTGCTGCTGATCTCCTCCAGCCTCCTTGTAGCCGCTCTCTGTCTACATGCACTCCTGTAATTGTTACATGGAGACTCATCTCTTCAGAGAAGCCTATCCCACCTCAACCTAATTACTGAACTATTACTTTTTCAAACAACTCATCCCAAGCAACTCACAGCTATCATCACTTTTAGATTGGAAGCTCTCACCACAGTGCCTTTGGTGCCTGAGGTGCAAGGGAAGACCCAATCAGCATAGATAAAATCCAAAAGACTTCAATCAAGAACCTCAAGGCCATGGTGAATGTCCACTGTACATGGAAAAATGTACCAAGCTCAATACAATCCCGAAAACAGAGGGGGAAGTATCCACATGGTGGGCAACTCTAACTAGCACCATGTGCCATCTAGTGATAACTTTGTAGATAGTTTCTACAGCTAAAACATTTTGTGCGTGGGATTTGACCATTACCAGACCTGTTGCCAGTCCACCTCATCCATGGCAGTACCCAAATCAACCTCCTAGTGACAGACATATGTAGGCGTAGTTTCACTGAAGTATTGGCGAGTATGGTATAGAGAAGAGACATCAATCTCAGGGAAAGAGGCTCTAAAAATGGCATCGGGTTTAAAGGACAATAGGAGCAGGGGACTATGGTGGAATTTCACAGCCGGGGACAGAAAGTGCTTTACTTGTAGGTCATGAAAAACGTCTGAGTTTGGGAGTTTCAATTCAAGTCAAAGCTCTGGGCATGGTTTCACTATATCTTTGGTGATCAACGCATGGACTTGAGTGGTTCCATGGGTGATCTATTCAAGTGCGATAATGTAGAGTAGGCCGGGGGAACCTTTAGATCACTTTAACAATCACATTGTATCCAACAGAAAATACTCATTTTTTCTTTTTGGCAAGTAGAAAAAGTTGAAACAAAATATACTGAAGTAATCGGAGCTGCACAGCATGTAGCAGAACTGAAACACTTCCAGTAGGCCCCAATAGATACTTCCAGGTAAGCTCTGGCTGCGATACCCTCTTACTCTCCTGCCGTAATTCAGTTTTGCCACAAGGTGTCCTCAGTATACCTAGGTTCAATGAAACGCCCGACAACACTCAACCCAGAAGACTCAGGACTAGGCCTGGTTCACACCTGAACGTTTTGTATATGCGCGTACAACGCGCGTTTCCCCCCGGCGTTTTTGAGCGTTTTTAGCGCGTTTTTGTACATTAGAAACGCGCAACGTACACACGTTTTTGAGCATTTGGAGCGACAACAGAGGTGCCCAATGAAAAAGAATTCCGGTCTTTCCGCAAGCGTCCAATGAAAAAGACTTCCTGAGACGCAGCATTTCCTTTTCCTGTATGCAAAAGACCGTGTGGTGTGTGCAGTGTCTTTTGTACAGAGGAGAGTTGCGATTTGTGATTGATTTTTCAGTGATTATGGAGCTAGGCAAACGGAGACGGACTGCAGCAGTCGTTGCAGCAGTGCAGTTGATCCGATTGAGGAGAAGGAGAGATAGCAGGCAGTTCTGGGTCCATCCCGTCATAGCAAACCTTCACGGTCCATCCAGTCATAGCAAAACGTGAAGAAAGAGGCCAGTTTTAGGCCATGTATGAGACACTCCGTGGACATGAGGAGAAGTTCTTCACCTACACCCGCATGTCCATAAATAGGTTAGTACATAAACAATTGTTAGTGCTTATTGTTGTTCTGTCCCATGTAAGTGGCATCATCGATTTTACGCGCAAACACTCATTTCAGCCCGTTCCCGTCGAAGTCTATGGGCGCGAACACGCTACTAAACGGCCCAATACGCCGCAAATAAGCTCCTGTACCTTTTCTGGGGTAGGCCGGTTTGTACCGCGTTCGGACGGGCGGCAAGGTGTGAACCAGACCCATTGAATACAATGGGATTTAGATGTTTGAGCGTTTTGTAGAGCGTTCGTCGAGCGTTGAACACGCTACAAAACGTTCAGGTGTGAACCAGGCCCTAGTGATGAGATCGGGCGTGTTCGCAGCTCTATGTGCCGAGCCCGCCAGGAAGCTGAGAGCGCGCAGCGCCAATCACAGGTACTGAGACATGATCCTGGTCCGCAGCTGCAGAGATTGGGAAATGTCTCAGTACCTGTGATTGGCGCTGCGCACTCAGCTTCCTGGCGGGCTCGGCACGCCCGAGCTTATCACTACTCAGGATATGCTGTAAGTGCTGGCCATCATAAACCTGCCCTGGGAGGGATATATTAGGCAACAAGTGAACATTTTGTCCCTGAAGTTGATGTGTTGGAAGCAGAAAAAATAGACAAGTGTAAGGATGTGAGCAACTTTGTGATGTCTAGACGACTGGGTCAGAGCAACTCCAAAACTGCAGCTCTTGTAGGATGTTCCCGGTCTGCAGTGGTCATCACCTACCAAAAATGGTTCAAGGAAGGAAAAACAGAACTGGTGACAGGGTCATGGCTGGCCAGGGTTCATTGATGCACGTGTGGAGTGAAGGATGGGCCGTGTCGTCTGAGCCAATGGATGAGCTACTGTAGCTCAAATTGCTGAAAAAGTCTATGCTGGTTCGGATAGAAAGAACTCTGAACACACAGATCATCGCAGTATGTTGCGATGGAGCGGCATAACCGCAAACTGGTCAGGGTGCCCCTTCTGACCTCTGTCCACCGCCAAAACTGCTTACAATGGGCATGTGAACATCAGAACTGGACCACAAAGCAATAGAAGAAGGTGGCCTGGTCTAATGAATCAGGCCACCTTGACCGGTTGCATGTGCGTCTCTTACCTGGGGAAGAGATGGCAACAGGATGCCAAATGGGAAGAAGACAACCCGGTCGAGGCAGTTTGATGCTTTGGGAAGTGTTCTGCTGGAAAACCTTGGTTCCTCTTATTCCTGTGGATGTTACTTTGACATGTATCACCGACCTAAACATTGTTGCTGGCCAAGTACACCCCTTCATGGGAACAATATTCCCTGATTACAGTGACCTCTTTCAGCCGGATAATGTGCCCTGCCACACTGCAAAAATGGTTCAAGAATTGTTTGAAGAACACAACATCAAGTTTGAGGTGTTGACTTCAAATTGTTTAGATCTCAATCCAATCGAGCATCTGTGAGAAGTGCTAAAAAAACAAGTCTGATCCATAGAGGCCCAACCTCACAACTTACAGGGTGTGCTACTGATGGCTTGATACCAGATACCACAGCATACCTTCAGAGGTCTAGTGGAGTCCATGCTTCATCAAGAAAAAGGTCACCTACTCAATATTAGGCAGGTGGTCATAATGTTATGGCTGAACGGTGTAAATACCTCCAATGTAGGCATGTGGCCCTCTTCTAAGTACAGTGCTTTCAAGGTATCCATATAAAATTCTAACCTTGAGACATAACTATTGGCCTCAGGACAAAATAAACTTACTTCAAAATACTGGTGGGCACTTGTGTGGAGGTTGAAAAAAGTAAAAAAAAAAAAAAAAGCCAGATGGCTACAAGACAAAGTGGAAGATGATTGAAGGAATTCTTTGCTTTTCATCTTGGCATCAGAGATAGATTATCACATATGGGTGTAATGGAATTTTTTACTGCATTTCCTTCACCTCACGTAAGCTATTTAAGATGGGTGAATTACAAACTCCCACTTGTCCCAAATGTCAGCTAGATATAGGCAATCTTCTGCATGAAATCTGGACATTGCCCATGCAGAGCAGAGGGGGGAGCGTGCGTCTGAAATATTTCATCTAAAAGCACACAAAGTTCACATTTTTAGATTCCACTTCAGATCAATGACTTCTGAATCTCGGGAACATTAGGATGCTTCTCTCACCTTATCCTGGAGATTGAGAGGTTATAAAGCTGTATGTGCTGGATAATCTCATCAATCAGCCTGTCAGTCATCGCATCAAAGTCGGCAAACGTGTCATTCTAAAAGAGAGAAGAAAAACACCATTACTGAGTCTACAATAGGGGAAGGGAGCATCTTCTAATGTTTACTTCAGACATTTACATACCATGACATACACAGTGAGGGTCAGTAAACCCAAAAGAGATCAATTTGGTGGAGTCTGGTAAGATTCCCCTCCTTTAATTTCTGACTCTCCTGCTGAAATTGTTATAAATAGCCCTGAAAGCCATTGTCAGTCTCACTTGGAGTGTCCAACTGGAATTTTTGGGTGTTCCCACCCACCTTTGGGTTCTCCAGATCCTCCGGTTACATCCTCTATATTATTAAAAATATAATCCACAGAGATGGTGGGAGCCCCTCATGGGCATAGCGGGAGTGCAGACCCAGGAACTCAGCGCACAAATATATCACCAATAGTCAACAGCATATTAAGGCCTCATTCACACTGCCGCGCGTACGTACGTATTGTACCATATGCAAATAAATGGCTCCATACACACAGCCGCGTATGGAGCCGTATATTTGTGCGGCGTATATATACGCAAAAACAGAATGGAACAGAGATGCGTCCGGGCAGCGTATCTCTGCGTATTTACACGCACATACGCGTGTTTACGCGCATATACGCGCGTACAGCACATTAAAATTCCATTACGAGTGATGCATTCTGGGATTGCATATAGTGCATGCATATATGCGTATATACGCAATATACAATTTTGCTTGCGTTGTGTGTGAATGAGGCCTTAGAGAGGAAAGTTAGATAGAGAAACAGAGTCATCCAACAGTGAAGAGTATTCCAAGAGAGGGAGGTTAGATAAACGATGGAGAAGAGTATTTCAGGAGAAGAGTTAGAGGAGGGAGCAGAATATTTCAGGAGAGAAGCGTTAGATAGCAGAAGGAGAGGCTTCGAGCAGTACAGAGTGTTTAGGAGAGGAGACAGACACAGGGAGAAGCGGAGTATTTCAGGAGAGGAGCCTTAGATGGAGGAAAGAGCAGAGTAATAAAGTTGAGGCGAGTGAGATAGAGGAAGGAACAGAGGCCTCCAACAGTGAAGAATAGTTCAGGAGATGAGAGTTAGATACAGGAAGGGACAGATAATTTTTAAGGAGAGGATCAATAGACAGAGGAAAGAGCAGATTATTTCAGGAGAGGAGCATTAGACAGAGGAAGGAGCAGAGTATTTCAGGAGAGGGGCATTAGACAGAGGAAGGAGCAGAGTATTTCAGGAGAGGGGCATTAGACAGAGGAAGGAGCAGAGTATTTCAGGAGAGGGGCATTAGACAGAGGAAGGAGCAGAGTATTTCAGGAGAGGGGCATTAGACAGAGGAAGGAGCAGAGTATTTCAGGAGAGGGGCATTAGACAGAGGAAGGAGCAGAGTATTTCAGGAGAGGGGCATTAGACAGAGGAAGGAGCAGAGTATTTCAGGAGAGGGGCATTAGACAGAGGAAGGAGCAGAGTATTTCAGGAGAGGGGCATTAGACAGAGGAAGGAGCAGAGTATTTCAGGAGAGGGGCATTAGACAGAGGAAGGAGCAGAGTATTTCAGGAGAGGGGCATTAGACAGAGGAAGGAGCAGAGTATTTCAGGAGAGGGGCATTAGACAGAGGAAGGAGCAGAGTATTTCAGGAGAGGGGCATTAGACAGAGGAAGGAGCAGAGTATTTCAGGAGAGGGGCATTAGACAGAGGAAGGAGCAGAGTATTTCAGGAGAGGGGCATTAGACAGAGGAAGGAGCAGAGTATTTCAGGAGAGGGGCATTAGACAGAGGAAGGAGCAGAGTATTTCAGGAGAGGGGCATTAGACAGAGGAAGGAGCAGAGTATTTCAGGAGAGGGGCATTAGACAGAGGAAGGAGCAGAGTATTTCAGGAGAGGGGCATTAGACAGAGGAAGGAGCAGAGTATTTCAGGAGAGGGGCATTAGACAGAGGAAGGAGCAGAGTATTTCAGGAGAGGGGCATTAGACAGAGGAAGGAGCAGAGTATTTCAGGAGAGGGGCATTAGACAGAGGAAGGAGCAGAGTATTTCAGGAGAGGGGCATTAGACAGAGGAAGGAGCAGAGTATTTCAGGAGAGGGGCATTAGACAGAGGAAGGAGCAGAGTATTTCAGGAGAGGGGCATTAGACAGAGGAAGGAGCAGAGTATTTCAGGAGAGGGGCATTAGACAGAGGAAGGAGCAGAGTATTTCAGGAGAGGGGCATTAGACAGAGGAAGGAGCAGAGTATTTCAGGAGAGGGGCATTAGACAGAGGAAGGAGCAGAGTATTTCAGGAGAGGGGCATTAGACAGAGGAAGGAGCAGAGTATTTCAGGAGAGGGGCATTAGACAGAGGAAGGAGCAGAGTATTTCAGGAGAGGGGCATTAGACAGAGGAAGGAGCAGAGTATTTCAGGAGAGGGGCATTAGACAGAGGAAGGAGCAGAGTATTTCAGGAGAGGGGCATTAGACAGAGGAAGGAGCAGAGTATTTCAGGAGAGGGGCATTAGACAGAGGAAGGAGCAGAGTATTTCAGGAGAGGGGCATTAGACAGAGGAAGGAGCAGAGTATTTCAGGAGAGGGGCATTAGACAGAGGAAGGAGCAGAGTATTTCAGGAGAGGGGCATTAGACAGAGGAAGGAGCAGAGTATTTCAGGAGAGGGGCATTAGACAGAGGAAGGAGCAGAGTATTTCAGGAGAGGGGCATTAGACAGAGGAAGGAGCAGAGTATTTCAGGAGAGGAGCATTAGACAGAGGAAGGTGCAGAGTATTTCAGGAGAGGGGCATTAGACAGAGGAAGGAGCAGAGTATTTCAAGAGATGAATGTTAGATGGAGAAGGGACAGAGAATTTCAGGAGAGGAGCAATAGACAGAGGAAGGAGCAGAGTATTTTAGGAGAGGAGTGTTAGAGGAAGGAGCAGAGTATGAGAGGAGCATTACATAGAGGAAGGAGCAGAGTATTTTAGGACAGAAGGGTTAGACAGAGGAAGTAGGAGAGTATTTCAGTAGAGCAGAATATTTCAGGAGGGGAGAGATAGAGAAAGGAGGAGCGGCGGGTTAGACAGAGGAAGGAGCAGAGTTAAAGGAAAAAGAGGCCTCCAACAGTACTGAATATTTCAGGAAAGGAGAGTTAGAACGTGCAGACTCCTCTAGCAGCACAGAGTTGTGTCTATAGGGGGTTGCTGTCACCCTAGTGATGGATAATACATCTGTGCATGTCATTTAATATCACTTCTGCTTTTGCCTGATAATTCGCAATAATACCTTAATAAATGTTATTTAATTAAAAACAAAATAAAATGACATAAAAATATAATATATTAAAGAGGAACTCCAGGAATGTAAGAAGGTAACCCATGCAGTAGGGCTACCCCCGCACTGCATAGGGTTAACTGCTCGTGTTGGCCTAGAGTCTAAAATTTAAAAAAATATACTCAATCCTTGATCCAGCCTGGCTGCCAGATTGGTCACTGCAGCCTCTTCTTCCCTGAGCTCCGGCTGTCTAAGGCCCACTGAGATATCATCACATCCAATGCGGGTCCTTTCATCTGCATAAGACATGAGGACACCGAGAGACATACCACAGTGAAAGTGGAGGGAGAGAGAAGTGAGCAGTCACCACCGCAGGACTGAGGATCAGGTGAGAAAAATGAGCAGTTGACCCTTGCAGTGCTGGAGTAGCCCCACTGCCAGGGCTAACTTTTTACATAGCTGGAGTTCTTCTTTAAATATACTTATCTACTGTACACAGCTTTACTATGCATACTGAAAAAACCCAATAAATATACTGAAAAAACCCCCAATATTCTCGGGGTCAAAGCATCACACATTAAACATCCTCTTTATACCATTAGGCACGATATACATTTCTATACACACCTGATTTTTTTCAGACATAAGGAAGTCCAGGTTTGCCCTTGGTAGCCCTAGTTCAAGAAATGTTTTGACCAATCGAAGATCTGCGCTATTACCTGCAATATGTATTTAAATCAAAAATAATTTGCGGTCTGTCAGTATCATTTTGTTTTCTGCATCCACTGCAAAGTACACCAGGGAAAAGTGACAAAGCATCAGTGAACAGAAGCTCAAATTGCATTATGTCATGCATCAAATGTACAACTTGTAAATGTTCTTTCCAGAGCTGTAAATTATAATTAGTAATATCTCAAGCTGGAAAATATTTGCATGTAGGCCTATCTGATTGAAGGAGAGCCATGTGGGTCAGAAATCCAGGCAGTCATAGACTCAGGGCCATCCCTATAATGGCGGCCTCTTATTGGGTCACATGGTTGGGTGGGGCTTGCCAGCCAGATTGTCCCAGGTTTCCAAGAGCTTTTAGCAACCCGTGATGCTCTGGTTGGCATCTCACACAGCTTCTGGCAAACTGTGACCTTGCTGGTTGCCAAGAGCTGAGCAGGATGCCAGGAATCAGGGTGGGATGCTGGACAGAGTTCCCTGCCGAGCAACCTTCTATGTGCATAAACATCACCCCCCCATCCTGATTCCCCATAGCGTGCACCGACCGCACAATCCCCTGGGCAGTGTCTACTAACCGCATAACAGCATCCCCCATCCCCTGGCCTCAGGAGGCAAAAAGCCTGGGGACACCCCTGTATCGGCTGTATAATTCTCTAAAGAATAAACCAATGGACATACATACATTTATATGCCCAAATGTATGAAGACACCCCTCCAGTGATGTTTCCAGTGAGGGGTACTAATAACGCTACATACATAGAAATTTTACATCACTGTGCACTTTCAACATTGTGAGGAAGGCCTTTTTTTCGTTCCCCTGTGCACAAAGCCAGCTCCGTAAAGACTTGGCATGATGAGTTTGGTGTACAGGAACTGCACAACAGCCCCGACCTCAACCCTACTGAACACTTTGGGATGAATTGGAAAATTAATTGTGAGCCAGATCTTCTCCTCCAACATCAGGACCTGATCTTTTGGTTGAATGGCTCAAATTTCCTCAGACCAGTCCATAATCTTGCGGAAAGCATTCCCAGAAGGGGGGAAGCTGCTAAAGCCATAGATACTTCAGTAATATTCTAAATAATCTAATTTAATGGCCATGGTTATGGAGCGTTTGGGAAACATCCACCAAGTTTTGGCTATATTGTACATATTCAACAGCTGGGGGATAAAATAACTCGATACTGAAGAAACATTCTCTGGATAAACCAATGCATTCACTTCTACTCTATAATCATAAACTGTGATAGAACTGTTTCACATTATTTCACTGTCCATAAAAATGTAATCTGAAAATACATGAAATGAAAACAGGAGATATTACCATCTAACCCATGCACACAGATCACAAGATGGATGCCATCTTCCAGATGTTCTTCTTCTGGTGGGAAATAATAAAGGTCTGAGGCCAATATGGAGAGGTCACTGTATATGAAACCTTCAAATTTCAGGTCTTCTATGAATTTTTCTTTAGCCTGATGGAAACTAGAGAAAAGATTTATGAACAGCATGTAGGGGAGCAATGTCATACTTAAAGGGTAACTCCAATTTAAAAACAATAGAACATATAAGTGTTGCACATGCCATTTTGTAATTTAATATTATTATAAATTGCCCTACCATTCAAAAGTGCAGCTTCGGTAACGTTCTAAATCTGTCAAAAAAATGCAATGCAATATGGCCGCCCGGAGGCGTCCTGTACACAGTTGGTATATGTTACTCCTCCAGAAATGTTAATTCTAGCTTCTGTGATTGGCTGACTGATTTTCCCAGAAGGCTGCATTAAGATACAAGTACAATTTTTGGCATTCCTTGCAATAGGAATTTTATTCTTGGCGAGATACTCCCTAAGGGTCAATTACTACTAAAGGGATGCCGACACTGCAACTTTCCTCATTACAACACAAGAAGTCCACCAGCTGATTATAATGAACCAGGACCCTTCCATTCAGGGATCAGTTTGTAAAGGACGTGGTGAAACAAAGTGTAATTTCTTGAGAACAGAAACATGTAGGAATCTGCAATCTGTAATTAAGGAATTACTATGAAGCCCTAGATCTAAGACAGGAGCAAGAATCAGGACCGGCAGGCTACCACTTGTTTTAGATTCCATCTGAAATCAGTTTGATGCTTTTGAGATCGTTTTGAGTTCTTTGTAGACATGTGTGATTCGTTTCGTTCCAAATCAAAATTTGGACGAATTTTCGGAAATTTGGACACATCCAAATTTCAAAATCTCAATGCAGCCGAAGGTGTTCAAATCTGCGTTTCAGAAAATTTCAGATCCTGTCGAAAATTCGTTTAACAACAAAATTGAATCAGACTTTTATGGCCAATCAGATGTGCTTTTCGGTTTAATGCATCCAAATTGCATTCGGGAGCTCCCGAATGCCATTCGGGTCTGGGAGCCTTAGGTTTAGTTTATATATATATATATAGATATATCTATATATATATCTATATCTATATATATATATATATAGCTCCCAAAGTTGCCGCAACGAATGTTCAGTCGCTCTACAGAATAATAATTATATATACATAATACTAAAGTTGATGCTCCAAGACCCAAATGGAGTTCGAATTTCCGAATAGCATTTGCAAGCTCCCGAATGCCATTTAATATTATGTATGTCTATGTATATGGCTCCCAGACCCGGATTGCTTCCTGGAGCTCCCATATGCTATTCGGAAATTCGGACTCCTGAATGCCATTCGAATCTAGGAGCTTCAGCTTTAGTAATATCTGTATATGGGTTTCTGTGGTAGTCGCAACGAATATTCCTACGCAAACTCATCCGAAATTAATGAAAATTCTGATTTCGTCCGAAACCCGAACCAAATTGAATTTCGGACCTGAATCCCAAAGTAACCAAATCAACTTTTTCCGCAGCTTACATGTCTAGTTCTTTGACAGGTTTTCTGACCTGCATTTGATCCTTATTCTAGACTGCATCAACCTGCTTTTACATCTGCATTGACCTGTGTGAGACGTAAAGAAGTTCGGACACAAAACCCCACTTATACAATATAATTGTGTCTACAATATAAGGGCAATAATATGTGAACATCTCTCCAAGTCATTCAGTACAAGTGTTTCCATTGAAGGGTTCTGTGAATGTTATAGCAAATTGTGCTAAAAGTTTGGTGAAGGCCGTTTTTTTGTTTCAGCATGACAGTACAGACAGCAAGCCTGTCTGCTTATACATGACAGTACTCACATGGCCCCATTATATCACCATGGCATCTATTTCTTGTCTCTCTCTCTCACATCATCAAAGTTGTTAACCTTTGCGTGTCTAAAGCGGGGGTCCACTTCCCAAACAAAAAGGTACATTCTGAAAAACATACGAGTGTAGAGCTCTACAGTGCTTCCTCTTACACATGCTAAGCTTTATTGTAGAAGCAGAGACCCTTCACCCATGTCCTCCCTATGACGCATTTCACACAACGGAACACATGGGTGGATGTCTCTGTTGCTGCTTGTTCAATTAAGCTTTACATGTGAAAGAGGACGCACTGTGTGGCTCTATGCTTGTTTGTATGCTTGGCATGAAAGATCAGATGTCGCACATGGCTCACAAAGACTGGGGTGGAGAAGCTGAAAAAATGTGCCCACGCTATGGTCATACACCTAGACCCAAGAACTAGATTATGGTAAACGGTAGCTTTATTCCGTCAGTAGTTCAATTTGAAGTTTACAGCCGCAGAGTGGATGAACGGAAAACACAATTTTTTACTGAGAAAATTACAGAAACGTTGCCGGCATAGCAAAAGTTAGGACCCAACAAGACTGCAGTGAAGGGCAAGGCAGCAAACTGGAGCCTTTTATTCTACACATAATTGTATTACTGGCAACATGCAGTGTTGGAGCTGAAAAGTTCTCACCTAAGCATCCGTTCATTAACTTCTTCATCAGTATCTGAAGAATTTGCTGAAATAACTCCAAAAGATCCCAGCGGTTGCCTTGTTATTGGGAACAGCACTTGTTTTGCTGTAAAGCCAGGGATGACAGGAGTGTCCTTTTGCATTGAAGAAAAAGGCAAACAGGTTGCTGTACAGGAAACGGAGAGGTTAACCATATCTACAACTCGCCTTCCATCTGAAGTCAACACTGTGGTTGAACTTGAGCTTGATTGTGATAGAGTGCACACGCTTTTGCTCACTTTACTCCTATGGTCCACATCTAACAATTCCTGATCTGAGCCAGAGTAATTATCAAGCAATTGTTCACTACTTGAATCTTCAGTGAGTTCAATCTCTTGCAAATATGAATATTCCTCTATGGCCTTTTTAGTTTGTGACACATTGGAGAAATGAGCTTGTGAGGTGTCATCCTCTACCAACATTTCTAGTGAAAATGTTGAGTCCAGCTTTCCAGGCCTTGGGCTCAGACAATCTGAGAAACATTCTTCCTCCTGAATATTTGAATTGCACAGCAAAGGTTGTCTAAAGACCTCATCATCGTCTAGCATAACCTTGTCAGGGTCAGATAACAAATTCTCTAAGCTGCTGTTGGAATTTGACATTGAACGATCAACTATGGGTTTGGTGTATGAAGACTCAACAGTTACATTGGGAGAATATCTCTCGCTGCACATTACCGTAGTTATTTCAGATTCAGTCCTAGCAGCATCATTGACTTTGGCCAAGATGTTGTCTTGGTTGTCCTCCTCAGCCTCAGATTTTACCACAGTCAAATCATTTGTGGTCTCCTCAGGGCTACTTATTTGTGGCGCTGAAACAGATTTAGTTAGTTTGGAAAGTTCTACCTCCCTTTCGTCTTCTTCAAATGGCAAGGAGTTAATGGAAGTCAACGAAGCTTGAATGCCGCTTGGTAAGCTTGTGTTGCTCTCCGTCTGAACTCCCTCCAGCGAGTTTCGATGCACATCATACTTTCGAGATAACTGCTGTAAAAGTTGCTTATCACTGCCCGGGTCTACTGACCTACAGCTGGTATCACACCAAGCAACAGAGCTTGGCTCGCTCTCTATTCCTGAGTCAGATATCAAAGATGATGAACGCTTGATCACATCAGAACACAAGGAAAAGTGGTCAAGTTTGTCACTAGGAAAAGGATTTGCTACAAGCGCCTTCTTCAAAGATTTACCTATTAACTCTGTGCTGTTACTTTTGGACAGTATGTGCATGCCTTGATGTAATCTCCTCTTATTAAAGCTTTGCATATCTTTAGAGTCTCCCATGTCAAGCATTGCTATGCTTTCAGATTCCAAACTCTCTTTAGTCAGCCCATCCAACCCATGACCAGCCTCCATTAGGTTAAACTCTACATCTGTTGCAGAGCCGTGGCTAGGAAGAGAAGCATTGACAATTAACACTGGTTCTCCTCTATACTGGTTGACCGTGCTCGGCTTTACTTCAATATACGTAACACCTGTTGATTTGTGTTCAGGTGGATCCTCTTGAGATACTTCAGGTTCACCTGGCATTGATTCTTGCACATTGGTTGTAGCCCCAAGCTGCAAAACTTTAGAAACACCTTCAGCTTTTTGAAAAGCTTCCTGGTAACTATGTACCGGGCTCTGGGTAGGGCTAATGTCTTCTGGCACATGGACACATTGGCTGGTTTCTTCAAAAGATGCATTTTCATACACTGTTGTAGTCTGGATGAAGTGGTCACTTATGTTACTACTGCCCAAGATGGTTTCGGATTCATATTTCTTTTCTTCAGCTGTTTTAAACAAGAGGAAAAGAGAGAAGAACATGATATCAATGGTAGTTTAAACTAAACTTACAAAAAGGACAAACTATTATATTATGGAGATCTACATTATGTTATGAAGAGCTGCCACCATCTTGAGCCTTGGTTCTCAACTGGTGGGTCGTGACCCAAAAGTGGGTCGCGACCCCATGTTCAGTGCGTCGCCGCATGCCTTTCTCTTTTCTAGGTGAGAGGCTCCTATGCCTCCCCCTAGTGCAGCACTGTCCGTTCTCGCGCCAGGCCGCAATTCAAAATATGCTGCTCGGCGCCGAGTGCCAGCTTGAGGTGGGGTGGGGTGGGATGGGGCTATGGCTGTGAGAGAGCTCCATCCCTACATGCATTGTTTACAGCTCCCTCAGTGGACCAGAGTGACATCACATTCTGGCTCCCGGCACCTCTACAGGGCATGCAAGGGAGCTGCACAAGCAATGCACACATGGATGGAACTCAGTCACAGTACAGAAGCCCACACTGGACCCCAGGCTGAGGATCCACTCCAGTTCTCGGTAGGCAGGAAGATTGGGTAGTCTTCCAACATGGACCTTAAAAATAAATAAATAAAAAAAAAAAAAAATGTTTGGGGTGTGTGAGAATGTCTGAGTGTGCAAGAATGTGTCTGTGGTTGTGTGTGTCTGTCATAATTTTTGAGGGCCCGTTCACACTAGTACAGTGCGTTAATCGCATAGTACCATACGATCAACGCACTGTACCACGCAATCGCACCTACCATGCATTCTGGTGTGGGAGGTGTGTTGTGTTGCCATTCATTTGAATGGTACCCCCAAATGCACATCCCACCCACAGTTCGTACACCCGCACCGGAATGTGCGATACCCTAATACTGTGCGTTCCATTGCAGTGCAACTTCAGTCATGACTTAATGACCAAGGACAAATGTGGGTCCTGAGGTAACACAGGTTGAGAACCACTGGTATAGAGGCTGCTTCCTAATGTCATCCTCCGTTATAGCTGTCCTCATGATCTGCTATATTCCTACTAGCTGTTTAGAGGGAAACTGGCAACGGGCAGGGTCAACTATGACAATACTGTCACTGACCCTAACATAAAACGTATGGCTAAACCAAGGACCGGTAGCAGGAGAACTGTGAGCATATACAGTATACTACTAGAGACCAGTGTTATTATGAATGGCCAGGGAGCAGTAGTGCATGGAATTGACATTTACCTTTAGTAGTAGCAAAAATATTTAACTATCAGTATATTTTTATGATGACATAATTGTAGTCCTTTTACATACAATTGCTCTAGTATCCTAATTTTTTTTTAGATGCTGGCTTTTTTTTTTTGCTACAGAACTACAAACCTTAGGAGGCACTGGATTTTTTTTAACAGCCTCAGGAAGAGTGCAATAGGCATACAGGGTTAATTTTAGAGAGGCTGGGCTGTTGTAAATGTTTGGGCAATAAGTCTACACTGCTATGACAGCTAAACAAATTCTGTTAATGGCTTTAATACTCCTCCCACCCCCAGGCCCCATAGCAGTCATGTGGGCTGCTATGGCCATAGTTACGCCACTGATTGTTTTCATATGAAGAACAAGAGTCCTTCTATACAGCATGCTGGCAGGGAACAGGCCTTTGTACTCTGGATGTGACTGCTTTCTAAGGACAATGAACAGTAAGACTTTGCACTCCTTTTGTTTTAATGCATTTGGAATATAATTGGCTAATTTAAAGTGACGTTCAGTTGGTATTTAAAGTAGAACTAGACCAACAAACCTAACTGTCTTCTAAAACAGTTACTTCAGAGCAGGGGCGTAACTAGAAATCACAGGGCCCCATAGTCATGCCACTTGCAGAGCCCCAGCGGAGAGTGACCCTGCAGAGCCCACCATAGACTCTCTATAGTGGGCTCTGCAGGGTCTGAGATCTCTTACCGGTCAGCGCTTCTGTGGTCGCCGGGCCCCACCTCCTCTGCTATAGACGAGCCCCGCCTTCTCTTACATCACTGGCCCCACCTGCTCTTAGGTTGCTGGCGAGTGATGTAAGAGGAGGCGGGCCTCGCCTCCTCCATTCCGAACACCACCCTCATCTGCCGCATCGGCTGGCTGTCACTGACACAGCTCCGCAGCGGCTATGAGGGGTAATGCGCCGTGGCCGCTGCTGAGCTGTTGTCTGTGACAGCCAGCACCCCCAAATGCCATAGCGACCCAGGCGGCCCTGGCCGGGCCCCATAGCGGTCGCTATGGCGATTGGTCGCTATGGCGATTGTTACGCCACTGCTTCCGAGGCATGCCAACTGTCAAGGTACACAGTGTGCTTATTTCAGCCCTCTACCAAACTTGCAAACCCTCAAATGGCTGGTGTTACAGCTCATCACATGTGCAGCACCATGGCAACTGCGGTCCAAATAGAGGCTAATATGGCACCTTCCTTGGCTGTAAAGGATACCAAGTAATAAAAAAAATGCCTGGCAGTACCGGGAAATATGCAGCCAGTAGACCTAAGCATTCTTGTATTTCAAATGAGATTTCAGTTTACCAACCTATCTTGGGATGTTCCACATATCTGTCTTCGAAGATAATGGGAATAGAACTCCAGTCTCCATCTATGTCCAGACATTCAACTGGTAGAGGAGGCATGCCGGTGAGGTACTCCGAGCTCCTGACTACTGACGACAAGTTACCGTGACTTTGAATCCTGGAAGCAGGTGAAAACATTTTCATTAAAGTGCTGAAAAGCCAAAAGGAACATACCTGGCTTGTGTAGACATATTGCAGTTATTTAGGAAATTAGAATTTCGTGTTACACATGGGCTGTCATGTAAATTTCCAAAATATATTTTGGGTCAAAGAACTTTCAGTGATAATGGGCCACTATAACAACATACACTTATCAGCCGACCACTGAGGGGTGCACTCATTAACAACGATTATCTCATTACAATGGCACCTGGAAGTTGGTAGGATATAACAGACAGCAAGTGAACATTTTGTCCCTAAAGTTGATGTGCTGGAAGCAGAACAAATGGGCTAACATAAGGATTTGAGTGACTTTGACAAGGGCCAAATTGTGATGGCTAGACCAACTGGGTCAGAGCAACTTTCAAACTGCAGCTCTTGTGGGATGTTCACAGTCTGCAGTGGTCAGGACTGACCAAAAGTGGTCCAAGGAAGGAAAACCAGTTGACCGGTGACAGGGTCATGGGCAACCAAGGCTCATTGATGGATGTAGGGAGCGAAGGCGGCCCCACCTCGCAACTCACAGGACTTACAGGATCTGCTACTGAAGGCATGGTGCCAGATACCACAGCATACCTTCAGAGGTCTAGTGGAGTCCAAGCCTCAATGAGTCAGGACTGTTTTGGTGGCAAAAGGGGGGACCTACTCAATTTTAGGCTGGTGGTTATAATGTTATGGCTGATCAGAGAATATCTGGTAACTGTTTGATGGGGTTAATACCTTTATTATACCAGTATTCAGTATAAGACTTTGCCTTTATTAATATTTGTATCCAAATTTAAAAAAAACTCAAGAGAGAGAGAGAGAGAGAGAGAGAGAGAGAGAGAGAGAGAGAGAGAGAGATATCAGCACCACATCCTGTCGTTCAAGTTTTCCTGTTGGTCCTTTATTGATATGGGTTTTCACTTTGACCCGCTGGGCGATTCAAGAGGTGAAGGGGGAAGGTGAGATAAAGCATAGCGAAAGTTATATATAACTGTAGTTGTCTATATTTTTGGATTTACAGATCATTTTGACATGTGCAACTACAAGGTAAGCCCTGCTTATGTGTTTAAAGCACTAACAGTTTGTGCAGTAATTTGTATATACTGCACATTCACATCAGTTCCTGTCCTCAAGGAGCTTATAATCTAGGGTCTCTTTTAGGGATGCACCGATACCGAGTACTTGGGTGCGTACTCGTACCCGCCCACATGCTCCGATACTTACCCCCGATACCGGTACTTCCGGTTAGAGGGAGATTTCCTCTGACTGCCAGTGTCGCGAGGGAACATGGATCCAGCTTCCCGGGCCAATCAGGTAGCCGGGCCTCGCCGTCCGGTTTCCTTATTTTCCATGAAGCCAGCTCCATGCTGTTTGGCCAGCTCGATGCTGATTGGCTGGGAAGCCATTTTCTCAGCCAATCAGCATGGAGCCAGCCAAACAGCATGGAGCCAGGTTCCCGGTCGATCAGGAAGCCAGGCCGTGGGGAATGACCCGCCTCCCGGCTTCCTCATTGGCCAGGAAGCCAGCTCCATGCTGATTGGCCAGAAAGCCAGCTACCCAGCCAATCAGCATGGGGTCGGCTTCCTAGGCAATCAAGAAGCTGGATGGCAGGTAATGACACACTGCCGTGCTTCCTGGTTGCTCGGGAAGCCGGCTCCATGCTACCGGAAGTACTGGTATCGGTAATCTATCGGCGAGTACCGAAATATAAATAATCGGTACTCATACTCTATACCGAAAAACCTGTACCGATACATCCCTAATCCCTACCTTATATACATACAGGGCCAATTAACCTGCCATTATATTTTTGGAGTGTGGGAGGAAGCCCACACAAGCTCAGTGAGAGCATACAAACTCCATACAGTTGGGATTTGAACCATGGACCCCCCAGTGGTGCAAGGACAGAAGCGCTAACCACTGACCACTGTGCATATTTTTCATCATATGTTCTGGTATGTGACATATTTACATTAGCACATAGTGCTCCATTGTTCTCTGACCGTATCTCAAGGGATTCATTACCAGCAGAATCTAGTGTGTGTGTGTG